ATATTATTAGAAATTCATATTGTGTCTGTGTCCCGGTTCCACATAATCTCATTATGCGTAATGCACTTATTCAATATCTTGTCATATTAACAGTGCGGATAACACCATTCTATTCTAAATGTGAATCACATGTATTAGTAATATTTTCATTAAAGATTCCGAGCTTTAATTAAATTCATTACGAACATCTTTTTGATTATTATTCTTAAATATTATCCTCTCGTATATACAACTTAATATACAATATTTAAAGCCACATAAACAATCATGGAATTTTCAATGATATTCATAAAATATTCAATAATATATGCACATAAAATAATGAATAAAATATTTTATTAAATAAATAATAAATATCATATTACATCTCATGCTTTTAGGATACTGTTCTCAACACCCAGTCCCCTCCACTACAGACTGAAAATACGTGTCGCCACTGCCCTAAGCCAGAGATCCAACAGCCAGCCTAAGGTTGGTGCCAAGCTTCAACCAAAGGAAGAAAATGAGGGGTTGTGCAGCAAGATTCTTACAAAACCATAGCACAGAATGTAGAGATGGAGAGAAAGGGAGTTTGATCTTCTAGTTGAAAATTTAAATTTAAGATTAAATAATTGACATTGAGGTATATTACCCATAAAAAAACCAAAAAAAAAAAGGAACTTTCATCTTCTAAAAAACAAATTAATAGCTCTATTTCTATCAAATTAGAATAAATCTTAAACCTAGAGCCCATCTTTAACTCTTTCAAATCAATTAATCCAGCTAATTAATCCTAATCATCCATGATTAAAATTGATTATATTTTAATAGAGAATAGGATTGATTGGATTCTTAGTTGATGTAGCCCATGTCGGATAAATTATTATGTAAGAAAAGTCAAATTCTATTATTAGAGGTTTTTAATTAATTAAATTACAACTTTTACAATTAGATTAGTTTCATTTACGTAATAATTTGGTCTAAAAAAGTCAAGTTTCATTTTGGCTTAAATCTTGAGTAAAATATAAGTTATTTTCCTTTTTAAAATTTTTTTAACTTTAGAAATTATTTATTCTCCTTTTTTTTTTTTTTTTTTTTTTTTTTTTTTTTTTTTTTTACCATTTAGGGAAGTTTAGGTTATAAATATGTTAGTTCAATCATACGTAAGTGGAAAAAAATTTTTGATGAATGAAATTCGAGTACTTACACTTTTTATTTTCTAATTTTCAGTATTTTTTGTGAATCAACGAATCTAGATGTCAATTTTCAGTGTTCTGTGTGTATCAATGTATTTTTACAACGGTTTTCCTAGTATTTTGTATGAATCAATATTAACTAATCTATCCTTTTTATTTTTATTTTTTCATTTTTTCTAATTAATCGCTACATCAGTTTGGTATCAGAGTTTTGCTACGCTCCTATACCATGTCGCGCAGAGGAGATACACCTATAAGGGAGCAGGATCGCTTAACGGTTCTGGAACAAAAGATTCAACAGCCGCAATATATACAAAAGTTGCAACTACAGATATTGACACGCCTTGAGAATATGAATATAAATCTGAATCAGAATCCATGATGTAGACCAACATCACAGAATGATCGTTTTACGAGGTACTAATGAGAGCAAATAACCTATTTGACGAGGCTAATGAGGCTGAGGAGATCAGTATTGCAAAACTCGTCGGCAACGACAACTCCAAACTTGGTACTGAGGAACATTTTGGTGGAGGTTCCTAAAATATCCATTTTTAAAATTGATACGCGAAATTTATTTCACCAATTTTAGAAAAAGGATCGTTTTAGCTAGCCAACAATTTATTCGCTTCAAAGATGGATCATCCAGAATTCATGAAGAAAATTGTTCTCTACACACATGATCACTTGAACGTACTCCGGATTCAAGGATGAATTCTTTCCAATCGAGGGAGAATAATGCATCTGATCATATCAGGAAAGTAATCAATCAATATTTTTGGCTCGAAGACAATTAATTAAATTACCATGTTTACAATTTGGAATGTTTCATTTTTATAATAATTTGTTCTTAGAAAGTAAAGTTTCATTTTGGCTTAATTATTGGGTCAAATATAAGTTAGTTTCTTTTATAAAATTTTCAGAATTATTTATTTTTTATGTTAGTTCAATCATATGTAAGGGGGAAGAATTTTCTAATGAATGAAATTTGAGTGTTTACACTTTTTATTTTCTGATTTTCAGTAATTTTTTTTGAATTAACGAATCTTGATACCAATTTTTGATATTTTGTGTGAATCGGTTTTCCTAATATTTTGTTTAAATCAATGGATTAACTGAACTGTTCCTTTTATTTTTATTTTTTTTATTTTTTCTAATTAAGTTTCGGCTACATCACTAGTTCATACATATGAGTAAATAAACTTGGCGCTTTATTTTTAAAAATTTTTATTGCTATCTATTTTCATTAGAATTTTCTTCAGAATCATTGTAATAGGTGACTAGAGAATCTGAGTGTGGCTTATATCTTTTGGTTAACTGTCAATAGGTGACGTCAAGAAACTTATCAAGAACTCGATATCTTGGAGATATAATTTTAGGGTAACTTGAAACATTTATTCCATAACTTAACGATAGAAGAATATCGATGCAACATGATTTTAGAAATCTAACATGGGAGTTGATTGCCGTCAGTGACAATTTTTTAAACTACGACTAGGAGTTAATTAGCATGAAAAAGTAGGTAAGAAAAGTGTTAATTTTTTTAAAATTTAAGTTCCGTATTTGTTTCATTCTCAGTTTGTCCCTCGAACTTTAAAAATTCTCACATTGTTCTTAAACTTTAAATTGTTCACACTTAACATCTTATATTGTAATTTCTGTTTAAAACATATAGAAAAGAAGAGAGAATAATACAGTCATGTGATCTTTTTGTTTGAATTTCTGCAAAAAACAAACGGATAAAAATCACATCATGACCACACTTAAATCCTTTTTTTTCCATATGATTTTAACAGAAATTTTTATAAAATTGCTTAAATAGGACAAATTCAAAGTTTGAGGGAAAAAGTAATAGTTTACAAAATTTAAGAGATAAAATAGGAGTAACTTCAAAGCTCAGGGCACTCATGAATAAATCTATAAAAAAAATAAAAAAAGTCATCAATTAATTGAACTATTGCCTTCAAAAAGGGATAATATGTGTTACCATAAACGGACCAAATAATTTACTATATTTGAAATCTCTTTCCTCCTCCTCGAAGATGATGGATCCGGGGGAGGGGGGTAATATCCTAATCAACATTCATAACTCACTTATAAGATACAATAACCTCTTTTTGTCACTTGTATTTTTTATCCCCTTTGTTTCTTTAGGTCTCGTTCGTTTCGCTGATTCGAGTTTAAAATTCGAGTTGAGATGTGATTTTATGTGAGAGCTTTTTACTGTAGCAAAAAAGTTAGATGTGACTGTTTGTGAGAGCTTTTTACTGTAGCAAAACTCGAATTCTAAACTCGAATCAGCGAAACGAATGAAGCCATATCTTGCCTCTATGCTAAATGGCCGCAGTGTACTATTGTAACCGAGTTTTTTGAACCGTCAGATTTCTGCATGTTTCACATCAATAATCATCCAAGATGTGGCTCACAATTTTATCTTTTCTTGGTACAAGGCTTTGAGTCAATCTTTAAAGTTCAAGGGAAAGCTGATGAAGATAGTAAGACAAAAAAAAAAAAAGAGGAAAATTAATGAGAGAAAATCTCGCCTTTGACTTGGAACTTACATAGCTATAGCTAGAAATATAATTCGATCGTTACTTTGTCCATCAAAAAATAGTCCGGAAAGTTCCTACATAGATTTCAAAAGGAGGTCAATAAGTGATAAGGTCAACAAATCAATAACTTTTTTTTAGATAAACAAATTAATAATAGCTACTTTCCGCTAATGATAATGTTTTCAAAGTACTCTCTCTATCCAAGTAATGTCGATCATCAATGTAAGCTTGAATCAAAAATGATGGTTTACCATTAAATTAATCCTAACAAGTCATATCCATCTCAAGTAATTGCAAGCCTATACTTTGTTTAGGAAATTAAAAATAAAATCATAAACTTATTTAACTTAGGAAATTAAAAATAAAATCGTAAACTTATTTAATTAGTATCAAAATAAATCGAGAGAAAAATTTTATTTAAAAAATATATATGTAGGCCCCCGTTTATTTCATTAATACGAGTTTTTAATTCTAATTTTGTTATATTTAAAAATTTTTATAAAAATTTACATTTAATTTTTTTATTACAGTAAAAAATTTTCATATAAAATCATATAACAATTTAAATTTAAAACTCAAATTCACAAACTGAATAAAATCTTATGCGGCTCAAAACCGCGCCACGCTAATTTGCTTAATAGAAAATTATTTTATTCTAATTGTTCTAATAAATGAACAAGACAGAACAAAATTAAATACATGGACCCAAAAAAAATAAACTGAAAAAAGCTGAGAAATGAGAAACCCCAAAAACAAAAAGTAAAATAAAATAAAAGCAGCCCTTGGTTTTATTAACTCCGCGTGTCAGTGATCTATACGACAAGCCACTGCAATAATTTTCCCCATCTCCACGCGCTCCCACGAATCCTGGGAGCTCTGAAGATCCTAGGATAATTTTTCTCCACGCGCTAGTCTTTACCGCCTCAGCTCTTGCATTCAACATCCAACACGTGTTCTTTACAGTACATCTTCAGAGGTTTCCACATCTAGATTGATTCTCCCAGGCTGGTCAACAAGCCTTAGTTTGATTCACCCTTAAAAATGTCGCCTTAGAGGGCGAGTAGCTTCAAATTATTGTACTCGCGAAAGTGGGCTCGCCGGCCAATGAACAATACCACTAGTGGTCTTTTGGGAGGTCCAAAAACGAGCGCTCCAGGTTTCCTAAAATAAGAGGTTTTTCTATTTGTCATAGGAAACTTGCTTAAGCTTTCCATTTAAAGCATAAAATTTATTTTCTTTCAGTCCATAATAACAACAACAAAGAAGAGAAAGAAAGAAAGGAAAAAATAAAAAAAAATAAAAGACAAAAAGAAAAGAAGTTCTTCACTGTTTATTCTCTTGTTTTCGTTCCCAGCTTCTATTTGCAGCAAGTAAGCTCCATATTGACCTTATATACTTCTTTGATAGAGTTATCTATTTTTTTTTGGGTATTTTTTGTTTCTTCCTTTTTGGTCTTGATCTAAAATTTTTCCCTATCTTTTTTTTTCGTTCTTTCCTTTTTATAAAGAATGATATTTGATAATTTTGATTACCCACCAGAGAAAATATTTCGTGTCAGTAACTTATTTTTGTGGCGGATCTACCAGAGAAAATAGTGATTAGAAACCCTAAAGGAAGATTATCGAAGAATATAATGGGGAGAGGAAAGATTGTGATCCGAAGAATCGACAATTCAACGAGCAGACAAGTGACGTTTTCGAAGAGAAGAAATGGGTTGCTTAAGAAGGCCAAAGAGCTTTCAATCCTTTGTGATGCTGAGGTGGGTCTGATTATCTTCTCCAGCACCGGCAAACTCTATGATTATTCTAGCTCCAGGTACGATTTCCTCTCTCTCTCTCTCTCTCTCTCTAGAGAATATTACATATTTTTCTTTTTCTTTTTCTTTGTTCCTTCTATTTAATTTATATTTTATGCAAACTTTTGTTGCATGTCTGAATGTTTTCGCCAGTTGATAAGTACGATTTTTTTTATTATATATATTTAATATATTGATTTTTTCTTGATTCTAGGTTCAGATTATTTCTGGACCTTTATTTCCTTGTATATATATATATATATATTATATATATATCTATTAATGCCGAATTTTTCGTCTTATATATATACACTTTGATATGTATTGCGTCCCACTCGGTGGGTCATACATTAGGAAAATAACTTATATTTCAAATTAGCATTCATTTCTACATATATAATATCGGGTTTTCTCGTGATATTAGGATTGAGATTAGAAATGTTCTTCCAAGTGGCCCCTACATATAAACATATTTATACACACATATACATGTATACACACATATATTTATATATATATATATATATATATTTGTGGTGTGTGTATGATCTTTTTAATTACAAGCATGCCGATCAGTGAGTGAAATGGAAAGTTTGATTATAGATTGGATTAATATTGCGCAATCTTAAACGTATGTACCAAGCTATCAAGTGGCTGGTATTGATCTGCTATAAATTAACTTTGTCTTTCTCTAGTAAATGTCTCAATAATAAATCCAAGGCTATAAGAATTCATTCATCACTAGAAAAGTACTTGTATATCTTGCATGCATGTATTGGTACGTCCATGTTCATACACTCGCGCTGAGATATATATCCGTAGACCTTTACTATGCATGATATTATTCCTTAATCACCTACTACAAAAATTATTATTAACATTGAACAGTACTAGCGCTTCTAAGGATTGTTCTACCAAATAAAAAAGAGAAAAACAAATTCCTTTCAATAAATGAAGTCCAATTCCGTGGGCTTCTTACATGTAGAGTAGACTTAAAACACACACACAGTACACACATCTAGACATGCTTACAAAAATGTGTCAATAGTACAGTACACACAAATATATGTTGGAGAAAGAAGTCCTTATTTTACCTTTCCTGTAGAGCTATATATATCAAAGGAAAAACATGTCCATATGTTGTTTATGTCAAGCCTAACTATACTATACACTTTGTTCACGGTTCGTGATTCATTCTACATGTATTAGACTGTTCTAATTCTCTTGATGTATAGAAGAGACTTTTAACATAGTTGTTTTCTGTAAAGAAAGAACAAAAAGATTGAGAGAGAGGCATTTGAGAGCCAACTGTACCTTGTACTTCTTCCTATAATAACGAAAATCTACAATAACAACTAGACATAACCATCACATTAAAGAGTGAGCCACTGTTACTCTTAATGTGCTCTTTGGCATATCACAACACACTAACGACATGCACATGCTAGTGACTTTTAAAGTAGGGGTGTTCACGGACCGGTTCAGGTAATTTTCATCCTCAGCACAACGGAACCATCAATTTTTTTCCAAATGAAAATTGAGACCAAAGTTACCACTAATAGGAACCGATCAACAAAGGACCATTATTTGAGTGGAGTTGTTAGTACTACAGACCTTCTTTTTTGGGCCCCTAAGTCTAGAACTTCACTTATCACTTCGTCAAATGAAAGAAAGACAACAAACTCAAATACATATGTCAAAATGAAAACTGAGTAGATGGTCGGTATGAGACTAGTTTAGGCTCTTTTCACGTTATCCGGTGATATTTGAGATTGTTGTCATAGCCGAAGGGGCTATGGGACATTAAGTGCGCCACCAAATCTACTTTTATTTTTTATCAGCAAAAAAGTACATATGTCATAAATACTCTAGGATTTGAGATTCTAAGTCGAAGCTCACTAGGAAATCTAGGGTTTAGAGTTTTCATTCTGAAAAAACTAAATGTTAGTTCCATTCAGTTTAATTAACCAAAACTCTCTAGACGTGAAACTAAAACTGACTGAAGCAAAAGTCAATTGATTCAATTTTGAAACTCTCAATTGTTAGGTTTGACCATAACTTTTATAATTTTAAAAACTAAATAAGAGTACAAACTTTGTAGTAACTTCGAGAGCTTCTAATTTGAGTGACTATTTTTTATTTCTTGCTATGTATGCTACATCAATTGGGCTTGGTAATCATGTCTAATTTATGTTCTAAGGTTATTATGTCTCTATGTGAAATGTTAGGGACACCAACTCTTTTCCAACGTTTGTACTAACTCTTGAATTGTCATTCTTTTATTAAAAGTCTTTAAAAGATTGTCACATTAATAAATTGCACCTATCAATAAAAGAATGACTAAATTCTACTGTAGGTCATGTTGTTTGATTAAAATTTAGCATTTCATCAATGAGTACCCACATTAAAAAATAGTGCATCAGTAAACACAAAGTGCTCCCATTCATAAATTCGTTAAAATGTAATTAATCGAGCCGTTAAATAAACTTGCTCTACCAAAAAGACAAAACAACATGTCCTACCATAAAATTTCTAGATGGATTTTATAGTATCAAATTTCAGCCTATTTTAGAGTAAACTTTTTTCCTTAAAGTTAATGATGGAAACGAAACGGATTGGGTATATGCTTCCCCCACCTCCAAACCCGCTTTCAATACCCATCCCATACGCGTCTAACTTAGGGAGGGGTTAGAGAATTCTCAACGAGAGCTATCTCTATGCCCTATCTATTTACTCATTTAACACTAGTAAAGTCGGAGCAAAATCCATTTATTATATGTAAAACTCTGCAATATAGTCACTGATGTCTTGTGAAAACAAACCAAAATTTCAAAACAAATACAAATTCGAATAATAAAAAAAAAAGACTCAAAAGTAAATCCAAACTCCAACAATAGAACTAATTCTTAAAATCCAATCCAACCAAAAAGGCTAAATTATCAAACAAAAATTGAAACACCAAAGAACATCATTTCCTTTTTTTAATAATTAAATCATTAGAATGGGATACCGAAATTTTCCTTTTTCTTTAAATTCGCGTTAGACTTCAACATTATATATTATAATTTATATTATATGTGTATACAGTGCTACGGGCCGCTTGTGACAGCCCGAAAATACCGATTTTGTGCTCGACCCGACCTGCCCGAAATTATTAAGTTATTTTGTGTTAAAATTATATAAAAACTAAAATCAACATTCAACACACATTATTAACACAATTTAATAAATTAATTTTGTATATTAATTTTTAAATTTATAATTCATGATTGTCTCGTTAAAAACCTTACGAAGAAAAACTCAATTGAGATAAAAACTTGCTAAAGAAAAAAGAGTGCAATCATTTTGTGACGAATTACAAATTTTACAAACTTACAAAGTCTAAATATACAATTACAATGTCAAAAATAAATATATATTTACAAATTACAATTTAATTTTAAGCTAAATGATTGTCTTCAAAATTAAATGTTAATCTATTAAATTTATCGATTCATTCTTGACTTGCCGGTAAAATTATTTCCTGTAAACGTTGATTGGCACGATCCCAATCCTTAATGCAGACCAAGGCTTCAATAATGTCCCTTTGCAATGCGTTTCAGAGTTCCTCAAGTATTCGTCCGGTCGTACTGAAGGTTTGTTCAGATGAAACAGTGGAGAGTGTGATAAAAAATATATCCATTGCCAATCGAGTTAGGATTGACCAAGTTAATGCTCGTACCCTCCACCATTGAACTAAGTCAAACGATTCTCTAGTACCGTCGACTACTAAGCTCTCACTGAGGTACGCCATAAGCTCGTTGAAGCCGCCACCGCTGCTGCCACCTATTGATGAAGATCCACTCTCAGCTTCTGTTTGAGTTGTCTTCTTCTTCTTCTTCAACCTGAAAACATTCAAGAATGAATGTGAGTTTTCATCTTGTTGTTACAGTTCCTGTACTCCAGAATTTGTGTTTCTAAACCTATTCTCATATTTACTATAGATCAAAAATATTTTTACCTTTATTGTTAGAAATTGATCAGAACAATTTATGCTTAAAAATTCACCTAAGTTTTCTAAACCTTCTAATTTTAATCTAGGATCAAAAATAGTACCCAAACCAAACAACAAAGGCAAATTAGACTAATATTTTTAAAAATTTTTTTTTCATAGAAGCGATATGAACTCCTAAGATTGGGTCCGCCCTATATTCATTAAATAAAATACTAATTCTTAAAAGTTCACCTAAAGCTAAAGGTGATGTTGGGTAATATGTTCCATTAAGTTTTAAAGTAACTTCATGAAACCTACCTAAAAATTGATACAAAACTCGGCAATTTGCCAATCATATGCATCTATATGTCTTGTTCTTAATTTTACACAGATATAGTTTGTTATAGCATCCTTATAGGGGATGCATTGTTGAAGCATAATATAAGTTGAGTTCCATATTACAGGCATATCTAAGGCTAATGCTCTAGGAGGTAGATTTAATGCTTGTAAGAACCTAAACCAATCTTATTCTCTATGGTTGCTACCTTGAATCCATGCAATACTATCTCTAATTCTTTTAATGTGAGTACACATTTCTTTTAAACTAGATTTAACTATTAAATTAATTACTTCCACAACGTTGGCAGAAAATAGTACCATCACCGAATCAACTTAAATCATTTTTGAAGTACTCAATTGCTTAGTATTTGCACTAGCATTATCTAATGTTATAGCCATTATTTTATCTCTTAATCTAAATTCATCAATTACATTTAAAATTATATTATATATTAAATCGACGCTATGTGATCCTAAAACAAATTTAAAACCTAATATTCTCTTATCTAAATCGAATCCTTTAAAGTAATGTCCGGTTATAGTTAAATATTATTGACTACGGCAAACCAAATATCTGCTATTAACACAACACAACTGATAGTCAAGTGTAAAAGGTTTATTAATATATTTTTTTTCTTTTTTAAATAATTTTAACAAATCTTTCTTAATAGTAGTTTTTAAAGTAAACTGTGCATTAGGATTATGTAC